TTTCTTTCTTTTTTTTTCTTTCATTCTTCTATTGGTATTCTTTCTTCCTAGGTAATAAGGGTTGAACCGAACCATTCTAACGCTAAAGGGGGGAAAGAGTTTTTTTTTATTATTGTTATTATTTATATTTAAAAAAAAAAGAAAGAAAGTGAAATATACAAGAGACGAGTAAATAAATATCATCATGGGGAAAAAAAAGAATATGGCGTCTCACGCCATTAAAAGTATTCTCATGAAGGAAAAGAATCTTGTGCAGAAGAAAAAGCGAGAAATGGATAGTTATCACGATACTCCAGAGCCTGTCCTTTCAGAAGTAAAGGATGAAGCCGCCGTGCGCTTTCAACGTGAACAACTCACTGTTGCTGCCCCTATGCAAACAAATATGTTTCTTTCCTTTAATAAAAGTCTTGGCCCGCCATTTCATATTTGGCTGGATACAAACTTTATTAACTTTTCTATGCAGAATAAAATTGAAATTGTGGAAGGTTTGATGGACTGTATGCTGGCAAAGGTCATTCCCTGTGTATGTGATTGTGTAATGGCGGAATTGGAGAAACTCGGAAAGAAATTTCGAATTGCTCTGAAGATCGCACGGGATAAACGATTCCGTCGATTAACGTGTGAAGGCAAATACGCAGATGACTGTGTTGTGCGTACAGTGACGAAACATCCTATTTACATTGTGGCTACATGTGATCAAGAACTTAAACGGCGACTGCGTAAAATCCCTGGTGTGCCCATTATGTACATTTCAAAGCATCGCTATACCATTGAAAGACTCCCAGAAGTGTATGGGGCCCCAGCGTAAAGAAAGGCAAATGTTAAGTTCTCGGTTTATACATTCAGAAGTGTTATTTATTTATCTATTTATCTATTTATCAATGTCTCTGTAAAGAATGAATGAGAGAAAGAAGAGAAAGAGAAGAGGGTGAGAAACAATAGTGAATGTGTGGGTGGTTAGACAGAAAGGAGGAAGAAAGTTTGATGGTGAGTGTGATGCTGTTCTTTTTTTTTTCGTTTCTTTTTCTTTTCTTTTGGTTTTCCTCTTGTGATGTGCTCATTTTAGTCCTCAAACATTTCAAAGAGCATTCAGTGGAATACGCTTCAAGATTTATTATTAATTCTGTTCTTCGAGTAATACATAGACGTGTGTGTATGTGTTTTTTTTTTAGGTTTGTTTTTTGAGGTTGGTGGTTTGTTTAATAATGATAATAATATCTTCTTTTGATATTCTTTAATGGTGGTAGTGTTGAACATCTGTTGTAGAAATCTCTTCACTTCTTTTTTTTTCTTTTGTTTGTATTCTCACATTAGGAAAGGAAAGGAATAATAAATAATATAGTATTATTATTATTATTATTATTATTATTATTATTATTATTATTATTATTATTATAGTTATGATGATTTCATCTAATCTCCTCACACGAATTCATACATCCCGCTGCGGTGTATCCTCTTATACTCTCCGTACTGCTCTGGTCTGCACATCTCCCATCTCATCATCTCTTTCTTCCTCTTATTCTTCTTATTCATTCTATTCGACTTCTTCCTTATCCTCTTCTTCTTCATTACGCTACCGATCATCCTTCTCTTCTTCTTCCTCCTTATCCTTCTCATCCTTCTTCACATTACGATATCAGCGACGATACCGGGGTTTTCATTTCTATCTTAATCTTAACGATCCAGAGGAAACACGGCGACGTGTGGAGGAAGATATCGCCCTCATTGAAGAGAAGAATGGATCGGATACTATGAAACATCTACACGCCCTATTAAATCTCGCATTAAGTTATTATCAATCCGGTGATTATCTCACTGCCCATGAATACGCGGAATATACACATGAAAAGGCAAGAAAATATAATAAAAACGCTACTTTTCTTTATTTTACAGCCAAGACATGTGCTCGTTGTGCACTTGCAGTCGCAGAAGAATATGAAAATCATCTACGCGAGATGGAAGAGAAGGCGGCAATCTCATCTACACTAACTCCCCGACCCTCTGTTGTTTTCTCAGCAGAGCGAGCCATTGCAAAGCTGCGAGAAGATGCCGTACGTTATGATGGGATCGCCCAACGTTTGTGTAATCGACCGGATAAGGCGTTCATGCGGGCTGCGGATATGGGCTCCACAACGGGATGGAGTGAAGATACGCGTGGGGAAGATGAAGAGCCAAATGACACTTTTGGTAATAAATGGAAGGAACGACGTAAACGGCCTGAACATGCAGCGATACGGCAGTATTATCAACAACAACAGCAGAATGGAAACGGTGTACCCAAGTGAACTGCAAAAAATATATACATGTAGTCCTACGGGGTATAAATTAAGAAAAGAATATGATGATACTAATGATTTCTTTTTTTTTTTTCGTTACTTCTTAATTGTTTAATGTTGTTTAGGGTTGGGGTTGGGGAATATATCTGTATACGTGTTTGTTTTCTTCTTTCTTCTCTTGATCTTTTTTTTTCTTAAATGTATGATGGGGAAAAAGTGCACTTTCTTTTTTTAACGTAGAAGGTGAAACGGGGAAAGGTATAGAACGTTTTTTTCTTTTCTTTCTCTTTTTTTTCTCCCCTTTTTTTTAGTTGTGATAACAAATATACAAACTAATATATATATATATATATATATATATATATATATTACAGGTAGATATGACTCATAAACACGATTATTTTAAAGATTTTAACTACAATGATAGTAGTGGCAGCAGGAACATAATAAATGATGGTAGTGATCATACACGAGCCTTCCATGGGGAATATGATGGATACAAACATACACCACTTTCCCAATTATCCCCTATGTCTCCCAAGAATAACAACAACACACAAGAAGAGGAGAGTAGAAATACAGATGATAAAGTGTTTTTTGCTGTACTGGATATCACAGATGGACGACGGTATAAAGTTTTTCTCCGAGAAAGTGATATCCCACGGTTAAAAGTAGGGAAGATACGCAAGACACTTAGTGCGGTTGCTGGAAAACCGCCTTTTTCATTTGATCTCTGGCATGGTGATATGTTGTTAATGAATATGGAAAGTGCTAATTGTGCTGATCTCGGTATTACACCGCAAACAATGCTTGTTATGCGACCACGAGTGGAAGAGAGATCTGAAAACGTAGAGAAAATAAAAGAACAACAAGAAGAGAAACAAGAAGAAGAAGAACAGCGAGAGTTTATGGGAAATGCTGCAAGTAGTAGTGAAGAGGTAATAAATGATATGTTTACCATGGGATCTTCAGAAAAGTATACATATGATGTGATGAAAGAGTCTAATTCCATAAGGAATGACTCAGCGTATGTGGTAGAATTGAATGAACGACAACGGGCATTGCAGGCACAGTTGTTTGAAGAGGCAAGACGCGCTAATCTCTTTTCAACAACTAGTAGTGGAAGTCATAAGAAGAAGAACAATAGCCCTAATAATAATAATAATAATAATAATAATAATAATAATAATAATAATAATAATGGTGATGGTTTTATATTAGGTGATGCTGTAAGAGATAACGTATTACAGTCTGGGGAAACATTATCGGATGAAATAGAGCCTGAAGAGAACAATAATGATGATAACAGTTTTACAGACTTTATTCAAGAGATTGTAAACAATAAAATCACTCAGCATGTCTCGGATATAGTAACACCAAGAATACCCTCACAAGATGTTGGTTACACTACAGCAACCACCCATTCACCACCAGATAATATCAAAAACAAGACATCATCGTTAGATGTACTCTTGCAGGGTGAACGTTATTACGATATGTACTGTGAAAAGGGAAGCGATAATAATAATAATAATAATAATAATAATAAAGGAGTGTTCTCTTCACCTACTACACCTAATGAAGTATATGCTGAAAAGAATATCCATAACGAATGTAGAGAGAAAAAACAAAATGAGTATGAGGAGCACATACTTCATAAATCCGAAAGAGGATTACCATCATCTCATCTCACTATGACGAACACTAGTGATAATAATAAATCCACCGTATCTCATCGAGAGAAACAACTCACGCAGCTTGTACAACAACTGCAGGATGACGTGAGTGAACTTCTCGCCCTTCACGTACGTGGAGAAACCACAAAGCAAGCCCTGCAGCATGCCCTCGCCGAGTCCCAACAACACGTGCGGCGGCTGCAGCGACGGGAAGATCAACTGCAACTGCAGGTGGACGCTCTGTTGAACGTCCTCGGCTCTGGGCCCGACGGCACCCCGCAGCCGCTCACAGACGCGGAGCTCCGCACAGCCGCGCAGCACTTCACCGCAGCCCACAAAAGTGAAGTCCTGCAGCGCGAGAACTCCGCACTGGAGCGCAGACTCGCCCAAGAGGTGCGCCGCCGCCGGGAGATGGCACTCACGCTGGAGGACATGAAGGGACACATCCGCGTGTTGGTGCGGGTGCGGCCGCCCATGCGTGAATTACAAGAGGGTTCACAAAATATCTCGGGTGAAATAGAAAGAGAAACAACAATAACAACAACAACAGGTTCTTCTTCACAGCCGGTTGTGGGTGTAGTGGTGCCTGATGGGCAACGGAATACGGTTACGATTACAGACCCGTATGCAGGTCCACGGCAGTTTAATTTTTATCGTGTTTTCACTTCTAGTTCCACACAGGCGGAGGTGTTCAGTGAAGTTGCGCCACTTGTTCAACTCGCCTGTGATGGTGTAAATGTCTCTGTTCTGGCGTATGGACAGACTGGTAGTGGTAAGACGTACACCATCTTTGGTCCGGAAGAGCAACAAAGCCATACAACCGATACAGAAAGGAATGCAAAGAATAATAATAATAATAATAATAATAATAATAACAGTGATAACAGTTATGAAGAAGAAGAAGAGGATGAAGATGTAGAGGAAATAGATGCGGAAGAGGATGGTATTGTACCCCGAACGATACGTGTATTGTTTCAGCATTTACGCGCAGAGGCCGCTGCAGAGATGGCTCTCATGACACAATATTGTAAGAATAACAAGAATAGTAATAAGAACAGTGATGTTGCGGATGATGATGATGATGATGATAATGATGATGATAAAGAAGTGGATCTCTCACGTTCTTCTATGTTTGAAGTATCCTGCAGTCTTGTAGAGATGTACAATGATAAAGTGCGGGATCTTCTGGCGCCCCTTCAGCTAGTTGTACCCACATTTCACGTGGGTGGAAATAAAAACAACAATACTATTATTAATAATAATAATAATACTAATAGTAATAGTAATACTAGTAATAATACTAATAACGAAAGTGCAGAGCATCGTGGACCATTTTCTGTAGCGCCGCAGCGTACAGTACGTGTGGGTCCTGATGGTCATATGTATGTTGTTGGACTCACACAGCATGTTGTGCGTAATGCACGAGAGGCTCTGCGGGTTCTCCGCGATGGGGCGACGCGGCGTCAAGTGCAGGCAACACAACAGAACTCCTCATCTAGTCGTTCACATATGATCTTCACGGTTCATCTCTCCCAGCGACGACGTGTTCCATCTCAACGTAGTAGTAGTAGTGGTAGTACTAATAGTAGTAAGAATAGGGGCCATCACATACCAGCGTTGTCTGTTGCGTATAAGCGTCTAGAGAGTAAATTAGTCTTTGTAGATTTAGCAGGATCGGAACGAATTGCAAAGTCACAGAGTACTGGAGATCGTCTAAAAGAAGCACGTTATATTAACAAGAGTCTCGCAGCATTAGGTGATGTTGTGGCAACACTTTCAAATAATACAACAACAAATACTAATAATACTAATTCTTCTGCTTCTGGATCTGCTGGGGTGACACACGTTCCTTATCGAAACAGTATGTTAACAGCACTTTTGCAAGATGTTATTGGCAGTCGAAGTAAGACTGTACTGCTCGCTTGTGTGGCTCCCAGTGATCCACCGTATGAGAATCACACAGCAGAGACAGCAACAACACTGCAATTCGCCAGTCGAGTGCGGTGTGTGCGTAATTTTGCCCCGCCCTTTCCTACCAATAATTCCTCCTCTATCTCGTTACGATCAAACTCACATTCACTACCACCACCAACAACAACAACAACAACTAATACTAATACTACTACTACTACAGCAGTTAGTGGGGGCGGTGGTTCTATAAAAAGCCAAAATGCAAATACTACTGAGATGGATATGGATTCATCGCACAAAATGTCTGCTGTTGGTCGTGGTTTAACTAAATTGTGGATGCGGCCAACGGCGTCGTCTCAACTTCGCGTTAACGCCTTAGGGCGCCATGGTTCTGCAACAACAACAACAACAACAACAACGGCAAAACCATCGAATGAGTCTGATCGAACAGAAGAGGTTGGACGGACGCAATCACCAACACCGCAGCCTCGGAGAGGAAGCGATTCGAACTTTGAGACAAGGCCACGGATGCGATTCTAAACTCAAAGAGAAAAGAAAATACTTCTTTAAGAAGAGTTCTGGTGTGGTGGGGTAAGATAGATGATTTTCTTCATGAGAAGAGGATTTTAGTTTTTTTTATTATTGCTCTTATTTCGTTTTTAGTGATGGATAAAATACTCATTACCATTTGTAGATCTATCCTCCTCCTGTTACGATGGATCTGTGACAAGTCATTATTGTCATTATGTTTCTTTTTGTATTCTATTTTTTCTTCCATAAATTTATTTTATTACGAATTATATATTATTCTGTAGAGTCAACACAATTTTGAAATAGACTGTGTTTCTTTTCTTGTTTCTTTTTTTTTTTTCTTCACTCAACCCCTTCTTGCATTAATATTGTTGAGCGTGAAACTGTATACACAGAGCGTATAATTTCTTTTTAATCCTCTTTGAAAAGACTGTAGGGACCTTGTTGTCCCTCTGAGTTGCTCTATTTATTTATTTATTTATTTATTTATCTCTTTTGATCCCACACACACCCACATCCACAGAAGCACGCACACGCACCAACTACTAACACCTACACACACACACACACACACACACACGTATATACATATAAATATAAATACACCTATATAGATTGGGAGTGATGCTCAACCGCAGTTCCGCTGCGCTGGCGTCTGCCCCGTCGCTTCTCGGCTACGCGCTGCGGGGGGCGGCGGCGAGTGAAATGCTCTACGGCGGTGTGCGGCTGCAGCACCTCGCGGCCGCCCCGCCGCCCCTCCGCCGCCAGCAGCCGGAGACCCTCCCGCCCCCGGCCGACAGCAGCGGGGAGGCCGCGGCGGAGGGGCTGCGCGACGGCGAGGGCGACGGCTGGCGGCTGCTGCCCGTCAATATCGGCGCGAGGGCCCGGGCGGCGGCGGTGCGGCTCCGGGCGGACGACTGCCGGCGACGACTCATCGCCCAGCGCGTGTGTGCCGCCGCCGCCGCCCCGCTCGTCTTTCCGGCCCCGCCAGTCAAGCAGAGCGGCGAGGGCCACGGCAGGCGGGGGGCGGCGTACTTTCACCCGCCGTCGGCGAAGCTCTCGCTCTTCACGCGGCCGGTGGACTGCGGGTCGCACACCGCCGCGGTGGACACACGGCCGGCAGGAGTGGGCGTCTATCATCCGCGTGCGTGGCGACCACTGCAGATGCTGAAGCCAATGCCGCATAACTGGAGCCCTACCCTGCGATCCTCCGGTGTACGTGGACCAAACATGCAACTTATGCAAGAGCGATTGGATGGAAAGGGTTTTGGATGGAAACGCAAGTCACGCTCATTGTGGCAGCAAGATATTGATACCGCTGGATTTAGGCCTAAACGGTTCTTTTAAATTCTGGACATATATATATATATATATATATATATTTATTTATTTATTTATTTATTTATGGGAGAGAAGGAAAGAGAAAGAGAGAGAGTTGTTTAGTTACCCCTGGTGTAATATGCGTTTTTTGTGGTGCTGCTCTTGTTGTTGATGATGATGATAGTGGTAATGTTGGTAGTTTTAGTATGATGCATGTTTCTTGTAATGGTATTGCGTTTCTCTAATAAGACCAAGGAAAAAATAGTTGTTGATGTTGGTGTTGGAATGCTCATTATTGAGGTTGTATTGATTAATATACCCTTCTGATTTCTTTTTTTCTCTTTTTCTCTCTTTTATTCCTCTTCTACTATCTTTTTGGCTTAATGTATATACTCTGATGCATCTTTGTTTTCCCCATTTTTTTCTTCTCTTTCCCTTTTTTTTTCTTTCTTTATCTTACTATCCCCCTCATTTCTTACCAACACGAACATCAGTCCTAGGTGCAGTTGCACAAATATTACATTCACAAAGTTAACGAAAAGGTGAAGAGAGAAAGGAAGAAAAAGGTACGGAACACCTACACGTAGAATACGAGCTGCAATAATAAGAAGAAAAAGAAAAAGGTTGAAGAGATTTATTTGCATTTTCTTTTCGTTTTTTTATTACAGGTAAAAGAGACAAATAAGGCAGCGAACACCCACATATACATATATACATATTTATTTCTTTAATTCATTTAGGCCAAAGAAAACTCAAGAAAAAACAAGGATAATATACAAAAAAAGAAAAGAGAACCAGGGTAAAAGAAAAAAAAAAAATAGAAGATTTCAATAAAACTCTTAGATCTCTATTTTCTCTTGTTTTTCAAGGTGGGAATTTATTTGCTCATAGCAGCGAAAAAAAATCGTTGATTGTTTTTTGGTGAGTGAGTAATTTGAATTACTAAAGCACTCTATATCTCTGCATTGTGAAGACAGTGGATCGAATCGGTAGGTAAATTTAGGTGCAAGTTCAAGCAATTTCTAAGAAAAGCAGACGGAAGAACGAAGAGAAAAAAAAAAAAAAAAAAAAAAACTCGATTTGTTTTTCTTTGAGTACCGTTAGTTCCTTTTATTAAATATTTCCTTTTCCAGATTTTTGCACACTTAACGTTCCTCCCACTTTATCGCTCACCTTCATTATTTTATTTCCTCTTGAGGATAGGATTATTACTCTCTCTCTCTCTCTCTCTCTCTCTCTCTCTCTCTCTGTGTGTGTGTCTTTGTGGGTGTTTGGATTTTATTTCAGCTGAATACCTGAGTGGCTGGAACAGTGAATCCCCCCGAGAGAACACCGGAGGAAAAGAGAAATTGTGAGAAGAAGATTGTGTGCGGTACATTAGAAACAGAGTCTAGGACTCTTCTCTGACGAAGGAAGCAAAGAAGAAGGAAAAAAGGTATCATACCGGAACGAGTGGAAGTATCATTTGGACATCGTAGTAACTTATCCGGAAAAAGAAGAAAGAAAATAGCAAAAAGAAAAAAAGAAAGGAAAAGAAGAAATAAAGAAAAAAAAAAGAAGAAAGAAAGACAAAATAATAAAATAAAAAAAAAATAATAAAGAAAATAATGAATGCCAATTTGTTTCTTACTCAACAACAACAACAGCAACAGCTGGGAAGAAGTCCAGGGTACTTTGTTCAACTTGGTGCCCTCAACGCAGCACCATCCACAGCCGCTCCCTGCTTTCTGAGTGGAGCACCTGTGCCCCCAACTCAACAGCAAATATCAATACAAGAACAGCAGGAACATGCAATAGCAACACAACCGGGGTTTATCATCACAAACAACAACAACAACAACAACAACAGCGATACAGGAGATGTGAAGAGTTCCCAAACATCTATGTTTCCTCTCATCTCGTCATCTATATGGGCAACCCAAGATACTGCGACATCCTTTATTCCAGCGTATCAATGTTCAAATACAGAGAATGTGGTGAATGGCAATAATTCCTCTACAGGTGTCAATTGTTTTTTTACATTCAATAATGGTCCATCCACTGCTGTTGAGGCATCTGCATCTCCGGTGGTGTATTCATTCCCAGTACAGCAACCACCACCACCACCACAACAACAACAACAACAACAACAACAAGAAGCTGCCTCTGGTCCAGATACAGCAGCAGCGGGATCTACGTATATGATACTTACAGCTGCGGCTGGAAATGCACCCAATGCGAGTAATACTCCTCTTTATTTTCTCGTCAATGCATCTACTACTCCATCTGTGCAACCGCAATTAACGACATTTGTTTCAAACCCCGTCGTGCAGTCTGTGCCGAATGCTACTACTACTAATACTACTGCTAATACTGCTACTATGAATAGATCAGAGCCACTCCCACCCTATCCACTTTCCCAGCCCACTGCAAATGTGATGGGAATCCCATGGACAACGCAGTTTGTGCCAAACACCGGCTCCGTGCCCGTAAGTGGATTCCCGCTGCTGATGAGTAATCCACCCGCCACTCATGTGGATGGGAGCATTCTATCGGACGCTCGATCCTTCCCGCATCAGCAGTGCTACCGTCAACAACAACAACAACAACAACAACAACAAGAAGCAACATCACAACAACAACAAAAACAACAACACTCCTTTTATATGGGCGAGGCTTCTAATCAATCAACATCTTCCGCCTCATCTCCGGCGTCAGGCACTCGGCGGCGTACACGTGCCGGTGATTCCACCGCCGTGCGCGATGGTAGTAACAGGAATGGTGGAGGGAGTGGACAAGATGCCGAGGTTCGTGCTGGTGTGCCGTACAGTTTGGATCCTGTTCCCATTGATATCAGCAAGACACAACTTATTGTGAACTTTCTTCCCCAATCCCTCACAGATGAGGAGTTCCGCTCCCTCTTTGCTCGTTTCGGTCCATTACATACAAAACCAACAAAAATCATTTATGATCAAAGTTCCCGTAGACGTAAGGGATTTGGGTTTGTATACTATAAGGATGGCCGAAGTACGGAAGGGGCTATTAAAGAAATGAATGGATTTCTTGTGGGTGGGCGCAAATTGAAAGTACGATATGCTGATCAACAGCGATCTAGCATTGATTGTGATAGTTGCAATGGTGATAGTGTAGAAACACCATCGTCGAATAGCAATGATGTCAATATTAATGTTAAGGAGTACGTGGATATAGATGTGGATGATGTAAATAGTCAAGATGATATGTTGTTAATAACGCAGGCAATGAGTCTCGATGACGATGACTGAAGAGAAGAGATAAAGCGGAATAGTTAGAGAAATGATATTCTTCACTCCCATCTCGCTATCTTTCATGAGGCTTGCGGTAACGATTAAAATAGAGACTCCTGCACATGCTTATACATGCTCATATATATATATATATATATATATATATATATATATATCTGTGTATGTATATATGTATGTATTGTTTATTAATTTTATATATGCTTGTCTTTTTACATTAGTGTATCTGATAGTGGGAGCTGGGTGGAATAGAAAGAGATGGATGAAAGAAGAGATGACGAAATAATGAAAGAAGAAGAAGAAAAAAATCGATGTAACTATATATGATTATAGTTTCATCTTTTTTTTTTATTATATATACATATATACCACTTCTATTCTGTAAGGAATACGTCTATTTGATGTTTCATCTAGCGTTATTCCTGGTTTTTTCTTGAATCTCTTTATCTATCTATCTATCTATCTATCTATCTATGATTTTGTGTGTGTGTGTGCACATCTGTATCTGTACTTTTGGCTCGTTTCTTTCTTTTTTCGTTTTTTTTTGCCCTTTTCAATAGGGTGCCATTATTTACGCTATCTCCATTGATAAGATTGTGTGTTTTTATTTTAAGTGAACGCCTACTCCATCGCACGATTTCCTTTTTTTTTCCTCTTTCTTCCACTTTTGTACCCGTGAGGTCCAGATACATGTATTTCTATCTTTCTACCTATATATATATATATATATATATATTTCTATTTGCTTTGTTTAGTCATATAATCTTTTTTTTTGAGATCTGAAAGAGAAAGACTTGAGATATTTTATGAGAACTGGTCTTGACTAATAAAAATAAGGAAAAAACAAAAAGTGTGGATGAGCCGAAGATTTGGTGGAAGGGAAATCTGAGAAGAATAAGAACAAATAATATGCAAAATACCAAATAATCAAAGAAAAGCATAAATCCTTATCTGAACACGCTTCTAATTTAGCATTACTAGTATCTTTTTTTTCCCATTGGATTATTATTATTATTATCATTATTATTATTATTATATATATATATATATATATATGTATTCTTTAGTAGTAGTTATTGTGATTCCATTACTGTTTCCTCAGCACAGCTTTGTTATCTCTGTGCAACAGTGTGAATGATGATTATTTTTCACCCGTGAAAAGGGGATTTTCTTTCTTTGTTTGTTTGCTTGTTCTTTTCCTTAATCCTTATCTCTCTCCCTTCTTTTTTTCCTCTTCTCTTACCATCACTCACATACACCATATATATATATATATATATGTACTGGCGCGTCAGATTTTTTTTCTTTTTATTTATATATGTGTTTTCTTTTTTTTTTGCTTTTTTTTTATATTTATTTGGGTGTACGAACACGTATGTATGTCCTTTGATTTCGTTTTTTTTTTCTTTTATGTATTCATATATATAGATATAGGAATGCTTCTTTTTCCATCTCAGCTCTGAGTGTTTGTTTGTTTGTTTTTCATTCTTTTTTCCATATTATATCTCTTTCTACCATGTGGTTTTAAATATGATGATTTATATGTTCTTTCTCTCTCGCTTTTTTTTTTCATGTGTTTACTTGTATCTATGTATGTATATATGCATGTGTGTATGTGTGTTAAAGCTGTCATTGTATATCAATGCTAACAGAGAAGGGGATAATAAATGGGGGCAAACACGAAAAGGTGGGGTGCAGCGAAACTCTTCTTTTTTATTGTTTCCCGTACATTCGCCCCACGTACAGTAATAAATAATATCTATTTATCTATATTTATCTATTTATCTATATATATGTATAGATATAGATAGATAGATATCTCTCTTGTTCCCATTTACTTCTTTTTTGTTTATTGTGGGCGGGGGTCTATTGTGTCTCTCCTTCCTCTTCCCACTGCAGCAATTCATCAAACTTTTTTATGTTGTTTCCTTTTTTTTTTGTTTACAACGGCTGTTCTTTGGATTTCCCGTCGCACTATATACACAAACAGCCTTTTATGTACACACTTGCATATGCATAACTAGAATTTTTTTTTGTTAACTGTACATGTACATGTCTTTTTATTTTCTTGCTTTCCTCATATATATATATATGAGTCTTTTATCTATTTGTTTGTTTGATTCTCTAATTTATATGAATAAACATTTATATATA